GGTTGTGGGGTGTCAGCTTCTGCTTTGTCCTCAGCTTGCCTTCTGTTCCCTCATCACAGAGGCTGGGGTTGCGGGTCAAGGAGCTGTTGCAGTAGGAAGAGACCCAGAGTTTACTGCTAAATTTTCTCTTATTTATTCGACAAGCACACTATAAAGCACTTACTCTGTGCCAGGCACTGTTCTTAGTGTCTTATAAACATGAATTCATGTAATTCTCACAACAACCCACTGAGGTAGAAACTAGTATTAACCTTCCAGACAGAGGAGACGTTATGTGTTTTGTCACATAGCTAGTAAGTGGCAGGGCCGAAATTCAAACCAGCTTGTGCTAAGCTTTGAACCCCTAGGCTCTGCTGTCTCTCTGAGGACACTAGTATTTGGGTACTTTGATGGGACTCTGCAGCCAAGAGAAAGGAAGCAGATCCTTGTCCCAAGCACTGAGCTAGAGTCTGAGCTCCTAGGAGTCAGGAGAGGGGCATGCAGAGCAGACTGGGAAGAGTGTGGCTGGATTTCTGGTGGAAAAGGACCTTAATCCCTTCGATCCAAATATCTCATTTTATAGATAAGAGAATTGAGTTTCAGAATGGGGAAAGGGACTTCCAAGTGCCTGTGAGGAAGCGCAGGTGTCCTGGCTTCTGGTTAAGATTCCAGGGCCCTGGACCTTGTTGCAGAATGAGAGACAACCCGCTCCTGCCCGGTATGCCAATTTCCCTTTTTAAAAAAACAAACGTTGCCCAGCAACTTGGCGGTTTGTAACCAGAGCTATAAAATGGTTTGTACTCTTCAGTCAAGTAATTTCACTCTTGGAAAAGCCAAGAGTGGGAAACTACAAAGGTGTTTATTGCTAATTTAATAGTAAAGACTGGAAACAGCTACAAATCCTGACAGTAAGAAAACCTTCAGGCTCACTGGGATATATTAGCACAACGAGGAATTACAGAGTGATTAAAAATGACCACGATGTGAACTATATTTATAGGTAGAAAGTACTTTGTGGTGAAAAGAGCAGAACCCAGAGTACTCACTGATTAAAGTTTTGTAAGAATCCCATGGGTATTAAATAACAGAGGAGACTCTGCCACGGTGAAAACGTTTCATAGTTTGACATTCTTTATCTTTCTGTAAAGTTGCTTAATCTCACTGAAGAAGAAGAAAGAAAGACCTTGCTACAACCATTATTCCTGTAGCGTATTCTTTTAGTGAGAGTGTAAATTGATGAAACTTTCTGGAAAACTAGTTTGGTAATTTTATTTAGAACCTTAAAAATATTTCCAATAATTTCACATTTCAGGATATAGCCCAAGGAAATTTTTCCCCATTATGCTGTATTTTTTATTCCCATGACTTAATTCAACTAGAAGCCTATCTCCCCACTTGCCCTCACCCATTTTACTCCCCGCCCCCCCAACCTCCTCCCCTCTGGCAATCACCAGTTTGTTCTCTGTATTTATAGGTCTGGCTCTGCTTTAAGGAAATCTTTTAGGGAAAAATATTTATAACCAAAAAAATAGTCATTGAAGAAATATTTATGACAGCAAAAAATGGCAGCCACCTAGGTGCCTATCAGTGGAATGTTAAGCAGACATTAAAAATAATGTGATGAAATTTTACTGGCTGAGGAGATAATCGTCACTCAGGAAAAAGACTAGAAGGAATTGATAATAGTAACTATTTCTGGATGAGTGGAACAAGGTCATTTATATTTTCTTTAATACTTTCTGAATTTTTTATTATGAGCATGTATTACTTTTACCTTCAGAAAAAAACGTTTATTGTTTTAAAATGCCGCTTGTAGGATGATTCTTTGATTAACCCCACCTTCCTAAAACCATTCACCAAGTGTTTCATTAACATTTGTGGAGTGTCTGCTCATTGTCAGTTATTTTAATAGGCGCTGGGAATACAAAGTCCAATATCATATGGATCATGCCTAGTTTAAGACCACTGGAAAAGATGATTAGAGGCCAACAGGGTACTCCCTTTTTCTAATTCTCATTTAAGAAGTGTGTGTGACATGGAGTTTCCTTCATGTTTCTTTCCTTTGCAAGTGCTCTTATTTCAGAAGTGGAATCAATAAACTTGTTGCTATGAAATTAGCTAATTTGTGGGGACACAGTGTCCTGTATTTTGGCTCCGGGGAAGGGACTGTAAATTCTATTTCTTTCTACCTGGTATATTCAAAGTACCCTAGTTTGGGGTTCTGCGTGGAATCAATAAATTTGTTGAAATAACTGATCGTTTCAGCCTGAAAAAAATACAGGTTAGCAGGAATATAGGCCACCAGACAGATACCCTAATGCCTTCTCGTTTCCCTGTGCTCCTACATACATGATCATGGAGATTGTAAAAAATCTATTCCCAGGCCTGACCCAGGGGCCAACTGGACAAATCCTTTGCCTCGTGGGCTCTGCTGATCCCATTAACTTGCCTTATCCAGGAAATGAATCGTATGAGTATTTCCAGATTGAGACTTGTGAATACTCCTCCAGCTATTCAGGCTAAGGGAATTACTAAGGGAATGGAGAAATCAGCTGAAGGCCCTCCTGCCAATTCTCATCAGACCACGTTTCGGTAACATGACTACAAAAGGCCATTGGAACAACCTGAGGTGTGAGTTCAGATTTTGATGTGTTTTGTCAAGAATCACAGACATCATAGACAAGGGACTGAGTCCTTCACAAAGTCAACAAGTAGAGGAGGAAGAGTGTCGGCTGTGCTTGGCTCCTGTTGCAGCCTTTTGTCAATTGACAATGCCTCAGACCATTAAAGATCAAAGCCATCTTTTGGTGGCTGGGTTGCTATGAAATTAGCTAATTTGTGGGGACACAGTGAACACAGTACCTTACGGTACGCTCGAATAAAGTGAACTGAATCAGTCCTTGCAGTATGAAAAATCATTTGTAATAGCTCTGTAAGTTAAGATGAAAGAAAATCATGATGTCTAGTGCTTGAACTAAAGAGAAAGAGTCTCGTGATCACACTTTTATTAGAGGTACAGGGATGACTAGAGAGAGTATTCCTTCAGTTTACCACATTCTAAGAACATGGGAGAAGGAGGGGCAAGGGGCCCATGGCGGATGAACTCGTGGAATTTTCTTAGTGGGATCTTATGACTGTCTAGACTATAAGCACCTTACAGACAGGTATGTTAAACCCACTCTTTTACAGGTAAGGTGACTTGAGATCTAAAGTGCTGCAGCCACACATAGAAAAAATAGGAGACCTGAGCTGGAATTTACCCCTAGACCTGATGATAACTATAGCTCCTAAACCGTAGGTTCAATGAATGTGTTTGATATAAGGCCACCCTGGTTCAGAGAAGACGTGGCAGGGTCAGCGTGGTTGTCCTTACTTGTCTGGGGCGCCTTCTTCCCCACAGGCCCTCAGGCTTGCCTTTGTGAAAGGGGAGAAGGCAGGTCTAAACCCATAGGCCCCAGAGCTGCAGATAGGCCCCAGAGCTGCAGATATCCCCCAGGGAATTCGTCTACGCCGTCCCTGGGGCATCCAGGTCAGCTTTTTGCTAGTCTTGTAATGCCACACTTTACAGTACAAAGGATCTCTTTTTAAAATAA